CTTCTAACAGATGTGTTGGACTTAATCTGAGAGAAGGGGAGTAGTTTAATTGACCAACCTAAAAAGCAGTCAGTTATAATTGCAGTTTACTAAATTGTATTTGTGAACAAACAGAGCTCAAACTTAAAGATTAAACTCATAGCATCAGACTGTTGCTATGGTAGCAAAATCTAACTATGAATATTGTTCTCTGAACTTTTACAAAGTAAACTTGCCAGCTCCTTAAACTCTTACATTTAAATGTTAAACAATTTAAAATCTTTTAACTTATGTATGCTGAAATTGAATCAAATTTAGCAGCATTGATCATCTCAATAAACAAGTGTTACATTCATGTATCTGTGGTCTGTGTTAAAATATTAGCATTTATGGGGCCCCTGAAGCCCTGTGGGACCTGATGGAGCTGCTGACTTAATTTGGATTAAACAAAAGTGCAAATAATTGCTATTCATTTTAATTGTATATTTTGATTTGTTGTTTTTAAGACTTGTTGTGCGTTTAAGTAGTGTTTCACTGGCAATGTTTTCCCGTAACGTATAATTACCGAGTGATATTTTTAAATTTCCTGTCACCTTAACATCTTTTAATACAAAAACACAGTGAACCACCTCGACACCCTGACCACCGGGCTTAACAAGTTTTCTGAGGGAAACCCTGTACAGATGAAGCTATATCACAGATTTCAAAAGAAAATTAAAACGGGAGAACTCGGATAATATAGGAAATAGCGCCCCCTTTACTACCAGAGAACAATGGCCCCATTTCCAAATAAGGTAAGAGACTGACAGTGGTCCGTCCGCCCCTTTCTGTTTGCTGCAGCGAGGTGTACTTGCATAATATGGAAGATTTCTTCTTCACCAACACACTGCACGCCTGTTCGTGCACTGCTGCCTCTCACTGGTGGAGATGGTGTATTGCACTACTTAAAACAGCCTTAAATAATGTTTCAAATGCTAAGTTCATAAGTGCTTTGTAGACATCTTGCTGTAAAACTTTAGAAATTAAATTAAGAAATTTAAGACTAAACAACATGGCAGAGCAATATAATATTACCACATAAAGCTAATTTTGAAAGTTTAATCAATAATACTTTTAAAACAAATTTATGTCAGATCATGATTTATTGGTTAATGTCAAGTTGTCATAACAGACATTTTGAATAATGTCAACTTTGTATTAAAAGTGTCATGTTTTACCAAATAACACTTTATGACAACAGTCATAAATATTCATGAAGACTTACTCATGTTCATGACAGGTGTTATGTCATGTTTATGATGGTGTCATGACAGTCTTATTCACAACCCTTCAAATAAAGTGTCACCATTTATTCTAACTGGAGCCTAAGCAACTTCCTTTGGTGTCTCAGCAAAGCCGAACCTCTGGTCAGTTTGGGGTGAGCACATCTTTCCTCAGTTGGGAGTCCTATTCTTCTGGGAGAACAAATACCGATTTAAAGGTGCAAGGCCTCTGTGTATGGCATGGAATTTAAAGTTGAGGAAAACCTGGGACCTTATTTTCATTCTCAAAGAAGTGAGGGAACTGTAATCCTCCATCATGTGGAATGCATTGTGTTCTTCATGTACCCCAGTAGAGCTCTCAAACACTCTTCAGAGACCATTATGTTTCTGACTTTTTAAATAGTAAGATGGTTTTAATTGTGCATGAGAAGAGTCTAACTGATTGCTTATGGATGGAGTACCTTAAAACTCTTCGACTGCTGAATTGTAACTGCTTTATTATACGTAAAAGTTTATTCATTTTTCTTCTCTGTTGCGCATAATCATATACTGTAAGAGGAGAATTCCAATTAGATTATGATTTTGGTTAAAGACAAAGCATGGAGAGATTGATGCAGTTTTCCTCCTTATTGATTCGATTCAGGTCCCAAAGGACAACAATGCTTCAAAATCTGTGCAAGGAAGCCAGCCAGTTTAAATTAATTCAGCCAATCTTGCTGGAGAGAGCCATAACATGTTTAGCGAGGATCAATGCAGAAACTTGTAACCAAATTATCTACAGTTTCCATTTATATTTGAAGCTGTAAGTTGGCTATAATTTTTTCCAAATATTTTTCCAAATTAGTTTCAGGTTGTATTTCTTATCTTATTGTCAAAGTGCAGTTTCCATCCCATAGTGAACCTTTGAATTTAGACTATGAAATGAGGAAAAGACTGTCCAGAAAGGTTATCTATGTTTTGACATGAAAACTTAAATTTAAGCCATGAGTAGTTTGAGAAATTCCACGATGAATTCAAACTTTTGTACGTAACATTATCAGAATAAGTTGCTATTGAATTGCCATTACACCCAGTTCATATTATAACAGTTCAAGTAAAATTATGCACAGCTGACATTCATGCACCCAGTGAGTATATATGAAGTATGTTGTCATACTGAAATGCTGCCATGGTGATGACCCTTAACTCTGTACCACATGGTTCGAGCGAGTGAGCATTCTGGCCATCCTGCTGAACTGTGTCACTCTGGGGATGTTCCAGCCTTGTGGACACACTCCATACTTGCTACAGGTAAAACACAGTGTCCCACTCACACGCACACATATGAACTTAAATAAAAAAGAAATTACATACAGCTTTGTAACTTTATTAACAAACCTCAATTTTCCTTCTGCTAATCAGTTCACACTAATCCTCTGTGCGTGTGTGTATGTCTTGGTGAGTAGGTTCTAGATGATGGGATCTTTGCATTCTTTGCTGGGGAAATGGTGGTGAAAATGGTCGCTCTCGGGGTCATAGGTCAGAAAGGTTATCTAGGCGACACATGGAACAGATTGGACTTCTTCATAGTTATTGTGGGGTGAGTATCCTGCACACCCACACACATCTTAGCACACACCAACATACGCTTGACATTTAACTGGCATTAAACAAGTGTCTAAATTTTACACAAAACACACACATACACACTTTTGGCTCTTTGTTAATGTCAGACGCGTGTGTGTGCTTGGGTGTGTGTGTGCGTGTCTGTACCATGTATTTAATACCTTGTGGGGACAATTTTCTTGATACATTACGTTGTGGGGACCAATGTACCTTGTGGGGACTGAAGCCTGGTCCCCACAAGGGAAATTATGTTTTTGGGTTAGGAGTTAAGTTTAGGACTAAGTTGTGAATTTAGTTTTGGGTAGGGTTAGGTATGTAGAAATGCATGAAAGTCAATGGAAAGTCCCCACAACGATAGCGTGACAAATATGTGTGAACATATTTGGAGATGTTTGTGTGTGTGTATGTGATAGCTTCATTGAATGACAATTGCAGAACTTGTTCCTCGTAGAGAAGCAGACCCTGATGAGTTGTTCTTTAAAGGCTTTGTATCCCAAAGAAAGAATGCCTGGTGGGCTCCTAGGGTTTGCCAAGGTCAGGCTGATCCAGATGCCAGTAATGTTTTGGTCCCACTGTTGCAGAATGCTGGAGTACTCTCTGGATGGACACAACGTCAGCCTGTCAGCCATCAGAACTGTTCGAGTTCTCCGCCCACTGCGAGCCATCAACAGAGTTCCCAGTAAGCTTAATTCCTCCATGTTTCTCTGACATTCAGCTCATTCACAATGTGCAGTATATTTATTGCTTTTCTCTAAGTGAAACTGTTCCCCTGTGGCTGACAATAACCACTGACCTTAGTTCCTCTTTTCTAAAGGTTGTATCATGATTTCTAAGTTTATTCTTTTCTTTCAGAGTGTAATATAGCTTTTTGTGCAGCAAGGCCCAAACCAAACAAAACCATTCCACAACCTTAAGTACCTGCACTGTGAAATCTAATTAGTTCACCTTACGTAATAAAATAATGTGTAAACTCATTGCCTCAAAAAATTGAGCAAAATATTAAGGTTAGTGAGTACGTAAACCTCATTTATTTTAGGTAAGCAGTACTAAATGTCCTCCAATACACTTTTATTTATTAAGGTTTTATTGGCTCTTGTCTTAATTTGAAAATAGTCAGACAGGAATGTGGGTATTGAGAGAGGGGAAAAACATGTGGCAAAGGTCATCAGTCTGGGACTCAAACCTGTGACAGCCGGGTCAAGGACTAACCCATATGTGGGTTGTGCTCTACCCTGCACCACCACAGAACTCTTCTCTCCCACTTCACAGAATGACTAGTTAGACTTAGACTTATTTTATTGTCATTGCACAAAGAAACATAAGTAAAATTGGTAATGAAATGTCATCGCTTGGCCACTGGAGCACACACAGAAACACAAGTGTGCCTATAATTACATAATAAACAAATAATAATCTATTGCTAAATATATATAACTTAGCAGTCTCAGACAGTTTTAGTGATGGGATTGTTGAGCAATCTGATGGCCAGTGGGAGACAACTATTTCTGAGTCTGGCTGTGCTACAGCGGATGCTATGGAATCTCCTGCCAGATGCCAACTGGGTGAACAGACCATGGAGAGGATGGGTGGAGTCAGAGAGGATCTGGTTTGCTCTGGCTAAGCAGCGTCTGTGTGCAATGCTTTGGATAAGGGGGAGTGGAGCCCCAATGATCTTCTCTGCTGTCTTCACCTCTCTTCGCAGAGACTTCCAGTCTGAGGCTTTGCAGCTCCCAGACCAGATGGAGATACTGCTGGTCAGCAGGCTCTCAACTGTTCCTCTGTAGAAGGTGGAGAGGATGGGAGGAGGGCAGCTCTTCTCATTCGTCTCAGAAAGTGCAGGCGCTGCTTTTTTCGCCAGTGAAGTGATGTGAGGTGTCCAGCTGAGGTTGTCTGTAATGTGAAGCCCCAGGAACTTAGTGCTGCTGATGATCTCCACTGCTTTGTCGTTAGTGAGGACAGGTGTGTGGTTGGGTCGAGACCTCCTGAAGTTGACAATGATCTTTTTTGTCTTGTCGATGTTCAGGAGCAGGTTGTTTATTCTGCACCAGTCCACAAGATGTTGTTCTTCTTTTCTGTAGTTCACTTCATTGTTGTCCTGAATGAGTCCCACAATTGTGTTGTCTGCATATTTCATGATGTTGTTGGTGTTAAACCTGGGACGACAGTCGTGGGTCATCAGGGTAAACAGCAGGGGGCTCAGGACACAGCCCTGTGTGGAGCCAGTGTTTAAAGAAATTACATGGGAGGTGTTATTACCCACACGGACAGACTGAGTTCTGTCGGTGAGGAAGTCCAGCAGCCAGTTGCACAGTGGAGTGATGAAGTCCAGGGAGACCAGTTTGCATACCAAATCCTGGAGGATAATTGTATTAAATGCTGAGCTGAAGTCCAAAATCAGCATCCGTACGTGGGTGTTTCTTTTCTCCAGATGTACCAGGCTCAGATGAAGAGCAGTGGAGATGACATCTTCAGTCGAGGGGTTAGGTTTGTATGCAAACTGGAAAGGGTCAAATGATGGAGGCAGTATAGAGATTATATGACCCTTAGCCACTCTCTCAAAGCACTTCATGATGATAGATGTTAATGCAATGGGTCGAAAGTCATTAAGACATGAGATGGTTGGTTTTGTGGGCACTGGAATAATAATAGCTGACATAAAACATGAGGGGACAATGGTCTGGTGCAGAGACGTATTGAAGATGTCCGTTAGCACAAGGGCTAGTTGGTCTGCACATTCTTTGACCAGCCTTGCTGGAATGTTGTCAGGATGTGCAGCTTTTCATATGTTGACCTTGCCCAGGGATTTTCGGACAGCAGATGTTTCGAGCCTGAGGGCCTGTTCATCAGGGTGAGGCGTAGCTTTCCTTGCAGGGGTTTTATTTAGGGCTTCAAATCTTCCAAAGAAGTTACTGAGCTCAATAAGAAAGCTAATGTCATCTAGGCAGGATGAAGATGTGGTTTTATAATGAGTGACAGATTGGATGCCCTGCCACAGTTGTCTGGTGTTGCTGGCATCATGAAAGAAACCTTTCATCTTTTGACTGTAGGCATGTTTTCCTGCCTTGATGGTTCGGTTTAGATTGGCCCTCACTGATCTAAGTGCGACCATGTCACCAGATTTGAAAGCAGCATTTCATTAATTACATCAAATTTTTTAAAATACATAATATACAAGAAATGTTCTGTGCCTTTGTATGGACTAAGTAGATTTGGGTTTTATGTTTGTTGTTTTACTTCCTTAATTATTAAATGTCGAGGACGACATTTCTGTTGAAGGGGAGTGGTTATAAAACTATTTCAGAGGTATTTCTACCTGTTGCTTGTTGCACTTCTCTCTCTAAGTCCATAGATGCCAGGTGTAAAAGTGAAACAAAGACAATAGTCACTGTTCAACTTCACAATCAACCAAACCAATAAAATCACACCAACACCTCAACATGAGCAT